TATAAATACATGTATTTTAAATAATATAACAACATACCAAAGAGAAAAGAACACTTAAAAAGTGTCATGAAGGTTCTTGTATCTTAAAGCCTAGATTGTAATAATCTTCAATATTCAGGAAAGGGTCCTACCAAAAGCCTTAAAACCACCCTGGGTAGAATCCAGTTAGAAATAAATTAAATGTAGGAATCCCCAAGAGACTCCACAAGTTGTTCTTAGATAAATGTGAAATTAGAGATGTTGTGTCTTTCTTTTTCTCCTTAGGTGGCTAAGATCTAAAAAGAGATCATGGCTGTGTATCAGTTGCTCTATGTGTTAGGGAAAAATAACTGTAAGATGAAAACCAGCTTTGACTTGGAACATTTATCACACAGAGGAATTAATCTATCTGATTCAAGTTAGGATATATCATTTTTTTTAAATATTAGTTTTATTTAATAGACAAAACATCTACATAGTGCAAAAATCAGAATGAAGTGAAACACTGAAAATTGTTTCCTTCAACACTTTATAACCACTTTGATTAATTTCTAGTTCATAGGAAACATCATTTCTAAAATACATTTCTTTAATATTTATATTCAAAACTGTCACCTACCGTCTGTGTTCAGAGAGGCAATAGAAAAATACAGACAACTGAAATAGAATGTTTTGATAAGCTGCTTTGACTGGTAATACCTTATTCCAGCCTCACCTTCCTTACTACTGTATTAATGGAAGCATTTGCCAACATCACTTTATTTTGCCCTACTCTGAGCAGATTTCACCTGACCCTGTTTTTGCTTCAACTTAAAATCTTTGGTTCCCTTCAACATCCCATTGCAAACTACCTTTTTGTTCCTGGGAGCTCCTCTGTGTTCTCCTGCTTTATTCTTATAGTTTCCCCTCTTTCATGCTTATACATTTCCTCCCTCTTAGTGCCTGTTGGCCTCTGCTATTGGCCTAAACTATCTTACACTTAAATATTTGCCTCCCTATAATCCAGTACCCTCCATCTTCTCTCCCTATTTTCTCTTGTCCCCTAGGTGGATAGAAAAGTTCCAAAACAGGGGAATATTACTTTTTGAACAGCATTAAATTTAAAAGACTAAAGTAAAAACATGAGTAGTGGGAGGCCATTATACATGAAACAGCAGGTATATATATACATGTTGCATTTTTTTACATTACCGAGGTTTTTTGTTTCTGTTGAAACCTGTCAAGAAGTCTTAATTTTATTTTCTACATGGGTGGACTTTGAAATTCAACACGAGAAAAGAAAGAGATTAGAGAGAATAACTAATCTAACTTCTTAATGTAGCAAGTGAGAAAAAACAGTTTTTGTGAGTTAATGACTTGTCCCTGGTCACATAGCTAGTGAATGTCAAAATCAAAACTAAAATTAGGTGTCCAGACATCTAGATACTATTTCCCCCCACTAGTCTAGGCTATTTTTACTCTACTCTTAAATTTAGAGGCCAAGAAATATCTAATGAAGAACTTTTAAAAGTTTCTTTCCTTACCTGACATGGTCAGAGAAGAGGAGGAAATATCAACAATAGATGCAAGGGATGAGGAGGTCTCAGTGGCTGGAGCCAGAGAGTGCATGTGTCCAGTATGGAGGTCACTGGTCATACTGGCCACTGGTGAGTTGTGATGATTCAGATTTATTTACATATAACTCCATGGGAACCCCAAGATTCTACCAGGTGGTGGTTGGTTTGGTGGGAGAATGATGTCACGACGAAGGCAGTTTAAAGGGATGGGGAGAGCCAATAGGGAGGTCAGATTCCCAACAGGAAGACAGGATTGGATGGAGTGAGTGGTAGGGGAGCTAAACCAACCCCTGAATGGCTGAGCTCTGGGCACAGATGTGCTTGTGGACAAGACAGATGTGATAGTCTCACTTTCCCCAAGGTCTTATGTTAGAAACATAATCTCAATGTATCTGGTAGACTTTCATTAATATAATTAACTAGTAGTTAATTCATGTGGAGACTCATGTGCACTCTTTGGTTCTTGTGAGAAACAAATTGGCACAATTTGGCCTCACTTTTTATTAACAGAACAGACAATTGACATAGATTCACAAGCTAGACAGTACAGCAACAAACTCTGTTCCCAAGGGAGAATAACCTTAAACAGATTTTTCATTATTTTAATATTACCTTTTTATATCATTAATTGGTATGTTTGTAGAATACATATTGTTTTTGTGCTCTGTATCAATGCTCTTTTCCACATTTTTTCCCTAGTCAAATTTTTAAAGATTCCACTTTTGCAAGACATATTACATTTTTCTCCCGATTACTTTATTTTGAAGCATCATGAACAAGCTTGAGCTGAAGGATTTTGTTGAGAAACTTAAAAAGGGAACTGTGAGAAAAGACATTGTGTTGAGTTATACTGTGCACCCAAGCCTAAGGAACAGGTAGATGTGTGCAGTCAGCCCTTCTAGGCCTGGGTTGTCTCTCTGTTTCTTCCCCTAGTTAGCGCTTTTCTCACTAACCACCATGTGATTGTGAGTTAGAGCTGAGTTGCTACTGATTTATACAGGATGGGGAAAAAGTAGGTTTATACTTGTTCATATGGAAAACAATACAATAACTAATAAATAATAATATAAAAGTGAACTATGTGTTTCCCTTACTTTCAACTGTAAACCTACTTTTGTTCTACCCCATATGTGGATTAAGCTGGTTTTGGGGAGAAAATCTATGGGTTTGGTCATTTTTCTTGATGATAAACTTTTAGGCGTACCTAGGTCAATCTACCTCATGAATTTTCTAGTGCCAATGAGTAGGAAATGTGTGATACAAGATGTCAAGAGCCCACAAGAAGATAGCTCATGGATGGGGTCTCCAAAGAGACATATTTTATTTTTAGGCCTAATTTTTCTCTTATGGGGTATGACTTTTTTCAAAGACGAAGATGATGCTTATCTGAGACGAAATGGAGATGGGTGTTGGAATGTAGAGATATGGCTCAAACTTACTTTTTTTCAAGGTTTTACCACCAAACTCCATACCTCCGATCATCAAGTTTCATGATACTAGTGCATAATATGAGACTAACGATATATTCTAAATATCTTCAAGCCAGACCAGTGTCTCATGACAATGTTTGGCCCAGTCTCATCAGGACATTAGGGACCTCCTATTTGGAAAGAGGCAAAATTGCTTGTAAGGAGGAGCTTCGTAATTAAATATTATGTAACATAAAATTTATTTCCCTTTGTAAGTTGATCCATTATTAATGGAGGAAGGGGGCTTAGCGAGAGAATTTTAGTCACTGAGCTCTGTGAATTCTAGTCCATAACAAACACATGTCACCTTCTAGGGTTACCTTTATTCTCCTTTTCATTCTGCTGAATCATGGCATCTCCATTTCCCATGATAAGAAAGCACAATAAACAAAATCTCCACATACAAAACAGGTCGATTAAGTGTGTTTACAAAAAAGTCTTTACTTTCTAAAGTTTAGACCTTTGAATCTCGCTTTAACAATGTGGATATTGAAACACTTTTGATATTAAAATGCAAGTCCACTCACTTTTTCAGAGATATATCCATTGGGTAAAGAGAAGTATATTTTTTGTCTCTAACTCCACAACAACAAACAATTTCAAGAGAATGAATGTTTTCTAAACAGAGCTTGGGATTTAGATAGAAAATGCAACTGTCTCTCCTGAAGTCCTGGCTTTAGGATTTATGCTTTTCATGAGCCCTGTGTGTTTTCATCCACACAGTGTTAGACCCAGCTCTGTCCATTGTTGAAGCCATTAAGTTTCATTCTCAGGTTCCTGGCTACGTCCACTTCCAGACACAACAAAGGTACCTCTTAGTATTACAATAACCAAACGAGTGTGAACACATGCACACACCCATACAACAACCAATATAAATGAAACGAAAACCTCATGAAATGATGCTTGCCTATTCAACATAGAATCCCCTCTGATTTTCTCTGTTTCATTGTAAAAAATTGGTGGATATAACAATCCACTTTAGGATGGTCATGCATATCTGATAACACACTAACATAGAAAATAAAGCCAAGAGTTTGGTTTCCAGTAGCAGTGATATTGAATCCTAGATCTACCACTTACTTTGAGCAAAATACTCTGGAAATCTCAGTATCCCCACCTGTAAAATGACAGTGATAACAGAATCCATGTCAGGTGATTTTTATAGGATTAAGTGAAGGTAAATAGGTGAGAGAATGCCCATTGCATGACAGGCTTTGAACAAATGTTAGTTCAATTCCATGAACTATAATGTAAACACAGTAACATTAACTTTTTGAGATTATGAAACATATTAAGTATAGGTATAATTAACACCCTGTGTTTGTGAAAAGATTAGAAAAAATTTGAGATGTAATTAGGTGAGTCTCAGTCGTAAACACCATGACCCTGAGGACTGACTCTGCTCCCTCTTCCTCCTCCCTGTCTGTGAAGTCTTCTGGTTTCAAGGCACCTCACAACCTCCCAGGCCCTACACCTGGGTGCTTTCCATTCTGCCCTTATTTTGTCCACAGTGTGATTTCCATGTCCATCTTTAAATGGAGTGTGATTGTGGACGTCATCTAACCTCTGTGCCTTGGCTTCATGATCTGAATAATGAATACAATAACTGTATTTCATGGGGCTGTCAAGAGGATTAAAGATAAATGTTCATAAAGAAATGGCACTGGATCGAAATCATTAGGAAACTTTCAATAGATAATCGTTGTCTAGTACTTCCCCTCCCTGTAAAACCCACACATGCAACAGACTCCTCCTGTTAGCCTACCAAGTCCATCAGATTTTACCCAGTACACACATGAGAATGGTTTGGAGCAATTTACTGGGTTGGCTAGTGATGGGTGAGATTTCAGACCAAGAAAGACATTCAGAGGCTCTTGCGACTCTGCCAGAAAGAAGGCAGACACTCCTTGAGCATTGTGGGTGCTCTTCCACCACACTTCAGAAAGTGAATTGTTACTCCTGTGATTTCCTTCATTCATTCATTCATCCCCTCATGCTTAGAGAACCCAGGAGACTGCATCATGGCGAGGAGGCCAGGATTCAATACTTCAATGGACAAGGTCGAATGGAGTCCATCCCCTGGCTCCTGGCTGCAGCTGGAGTCACGGTCGGTTCTGAGTTCTGTCATCTTAAGTTGGATCTTAAGATGTCAATCTAAAATTGACCGTATCAAATCCTTTAGTTACCAGACAAAAACTAACATCAAGTGTGGCAGCCTAAGGCCAGCCTATAGTGTGTGGGTTCTCAACTTTGTGCAGGAGAGATTTCACAATACAAGCCCTGGTGATTTTGAGATGTAGTGCTCTGCGTGGCTCCCTAGAAATGTTATAGAAAAAAGTGAGCCCAGCCAGGCATGTGTGGCTCAGTGGTTCAGCATCGACCCATGCACAAAGAGGTTGCTGGTTCGATTCCTAGTCAGAACACATGCCCAGGTTGTGGGCCAAATCCTCAGTGGGAGACATGCAGGAGGCGGCCAATCAATGTTTTCTGTCATCAATATTTCTGTCTCTCTCTCCCTCTCTCTCTAAAATTAATACAGAAAAAAATTAATTTGGGGGTCCTTTTTATTTTCTCTATTGAGATTTTACCCTAGTGCGTGTCATAGTTTCCAAAAGAGGAAATTCTGAGTAGAAAGAGTTCAAGCTGTACAGCCAATGGGACCCATTTCACCATTGGTGGGGCTTCTACTATGTGAGTGAGGCCCCTGGAGACAGCATCTTATATGGTCACTGGCCCATGGATACCGCATGCCAGGGGACACACAATATCCTGTCCTGTCTCACGTGGAGAGAAAGGCTTTCATGAGGTATTAAAAATCCATAACTAGAAGAACTTCCCAGTCCCTTCCCTCCCAAGCACTACCCTCCCCAATACTGACCTCATCACTGACAGATATATAAGCAGGTGGATGTGAATGGAACCCAGGTGTGAGCAGTTACAGGATATAACCCATGCTCTGTTCCTGATGGCTCTAATCTGAATTTCTGAATCACATGATCACACTGCTTTGTGTACCCCGCCAAACTCAGAAATATTTCCTTTTCCATATCATGAACCAGACAGAGGTCATTCAAGGTGAAAAGTTCTATAATGCTATTGAAGGAATCACCGGAACTCCTTTACTGTTTCTGCTTTTCAGTTTGAAGAAAAAATTTTGGAAACTCGGGAAGATTTGGAAAACTTAAGAAATGATTAAGACTAAGTATCTAAATTGTACTGGTGAGGGTATCTATCTAGAAAGTCAATAGCGAGGTTTGAACACCAGACAATGCCTATGTGTGTGTATGGTAGGAGCTGGGGGTGGGGGCAGGTAGGGAGAAAGAAAAGTGGTCCAGGTGTAAGGGGTGGGCTCATTGAGCAGGTCTTATCACTCACTCAGGGCTAGGAAGGACTTGAACCCTCTGAGTATTTGCTAAAGGACCAGCCCTGTGCCCTAGAACGCCCCCTTTTGCTCCTCCGGCCTCTGTGCACTGTGAGTGCGCTGTATCCGCTCAGGACCCACAGAGCCTGCCCAACACACGCAGCAGGTGCTGAGAGTGGACATGGGCCATCAGCTGCCTTCAGTCTGTTCTCTCCAGGTTGAAGGTAGTGTCCCAGTAGTACTGCAGACTCGGATGGGGAGGTGGTGTTGAGTGGGTGGGAATGGAGGTGACAGTGTGCAGAGGGCGAGAGGGAAAGGGCAGCAGCACTGGATCCGGACCCAGGGCTTCCGCACACACTGATCAGTGGTGGAGTGTGAAGAGCACACAAAACAGCCTATGTAGGAATTGAGCTTAGAATTTGCCTTAATGCCAGGAACGCATGAGATTAACTTTGGAAACTTCCCATTTGAACTGTTTCTGGGCTGGTGGTCCTCTGCAGCCTCTCTCTGAATAATTCCTAAGTTATCCTTGAAGATAAATGCAAAGAAAAAGATTATAAGTGGCAGAACCCCATGCTATTTCCATTAAAATATTACCAGGAAATAATTTTTTGTTTCCTTTAATTCTTTAGTCATTACTACAGACTTGATTTCATCCTACAAGAGTGATCCATAAGACATTTGACTTTAGTTTTTCTTTTCATCTTTCGAAAGATGGGTATCTGATGTTCCACCAAGTGCCAATGGTCAAAATTGACAGGAGGAAGCTGGCACAGAGCTACATTGCCAACAAATATGACCTGTATGGGAAAGACATAAAAGAGAGAGCCCTGTAGGTATTTTTTTCTATTTTCATCAACAATGAAAAGGAACAATTTTTAGATGCTTCCTTGAATGAGCAGTTTGTGTCAGGGGATCCTGACCAATAGCAGCATGGGCCTTGGAGGTAGAGGCTGAGGTCCAGTCCAGCAGAGAACAGGAGGTAATGGAGAGGGTTGTGGAATTATGATCTATGGGAAATAATGGGAAGAACTGCTAATATGGGGAATGAAAATGGGCCTGGGTGGTGTAAGGATGACAGAGGGAGGGACATGACTGTGCTGGCTGTGCCAGGACTCTCTGGAATGATTCAGGAGGCAGGTCTTCAGCTTCTGGATCACACTGAGTCTGTGCCCAGAGCCAACACGGCAGAGATGGCAAACCCTAGGCAGAGTCTCACTGGGTACTTGCAGTGATTCCACAAATTTCTCTCTGCCTGTGACTCTGGACCCCTCATTGATGTTCTCTTTCCCTGTATTTGGTCATGTGCATAACAAAAACTTTATACATATATATCTACCTTAATATGAAGTGTCAAAAGTTAGCAAAATTCATAGCTGCATGACTAGCATATAAAAATGCACCCAAATCGTAGTGAATTGTTTTGCCCCCTCCTGATGCCCCATTCTCTTACAGTTTCAAACTATAACATGTAAAGTAGGTGACATTGGACAGTTGAATTCTTTTTGTCCTTCAGGATTGGTATGTATTCTGAAGGTATGGCAGATTTGAATGAAATGATCATGGTATTACCACCAGGTCTACCTAATCAAAAAGATGCCAAGATGACCCAGATCAAGGATAGAACAACAAACCGTTATCTCCCTGCCTTTGAAAAAGGAAGAGGGCTGTTCAGTGTTGGGCACTGAGATTAGAGGACAAAGAAAATTCATGCCCAGGCCTGTCCTGGGGCATTGACCTTTCACTTCTAGCAATCCCTCCTCATTGCTAATGTAGCAGGCAGCCTCTGGGCATGTTACAGAAATCAACTATGGGGAGGATATGCACCTGTTATACCCAAGTTATAATTTTCAGCAAAATTACAGTTACTGCTACCCAATTTAGAATAGTGCATTGATGGCATTTCATGGTCATATTTGGAATGTGGGCTGTGGAATCCTCTGGAATCCACACAGGGATCAGAGTAGATGCTGCAGAACAGCATGCAGGGGCTTTTCATCCAAAGGAGCACGATGAGAGCAATTCGTTAGAAAATATGCTCACAACACGCACAGGGAGACATGAGACCAACTGCAGCAGCGTTCTCACCCTCTATAGCTGCAGAGGGAAGGAAGGGGAGGCCTCCCTCCTCACTGTCACTCAGGCCTGGTTCTCTATCTGTAGAGGCAGATGCACACTGCCCCTCACGTGTCACTTGCAGGGCAGACTGGGATACAGTGACGTGTTGCTTCAGCCACATACTAAGCCCGTAACTTGGCCTCTCGTGAGAAATTTGGGGTATATGGGGTTGAGTTCAGGGCCCCCGTCTTTTTAGAGTATGATCCTGCCCACCGTGGAGTAGGGTGGAGCAGACAGAGTCATGGGACACATGGCTGCTGCCCTTAATGTCTATTCAGTGTTAGGCCAACTGAGCCCAACCAAGGTGTCCTCCCAGGGGGCTTCCCTTTGCATACATACCTGCTCTCTCTAGATCTAGACTCCCCAAGAGATTTATGAGGAGGAGAGGACTTTGCTATACATCCCTCCTGGATACCCTTGTTCTGGAGCATAGGTTCTCAACCTTATCACACCCAGTCCTCAACAGTTATAACATATTTTATAATCCTCTTTATTGCCCTGAAGTAAACTTTATAAGATTAACTACACCATGGCTGGTTCTATGAATACACAAAGAATAAGGTATCACTTTCACTCAAAAACAGTGGCTGAGGAGAGTTTAATGAAATGCCTATTGATAAAGCTGGGGGTAAGGTTAAGATACCTCAAAAAATGGTGACGCACTCTGGGGCTGGCCACAGTGGGATGCCTCTTCCTCCCCTCCCCTCAATGGGACAAGGACAGAAAGCAGTAGAAGGACCTAGGAGTCACTGGGAGTCATAGGTGCAGGACAGGGCCACCACAACAGGAGTTGATGGCCTTCACAGAGGAAGTTACCTGCTGCCAACCCAAACAGCCCAGGACACATGGACAGTTCATACAAACACAGGTGGCTCCAAATGACTACACTGAATGTGACTTGTTTGCACCACAGCTTTATCCACTTTGTTATACATAGTTTAGTTAAAAATCATCAGAACTGTACATGGAAATATGTTTTTAATTTTTGGTAATATACTGATTTATATATTAACTTACATTTACTATGTCAGATGTTAGTAATTTTAATGCCACTCCTAGGTAATCTGTGATATAAAAACATAAAGATGTTGGTCATAAAATTATTAACATTTGGTATTTGATCTTTATACCAGCCACCAATTTTATGGAGAGATTTTGTGTGTGTGTGTGTGTGTGTGTGTGTGTGTGTGTGAAAGAAAAGTAGATATCGGTTTCTCTGACTGCACTGGGGAAAATGGATCAAGATTTGAGCTTTGGACACGGAAACTTGCTAATTTTCCAAAACCTTCTTAAAAAACAAACATGTATTAGAAACATTCTGGCAGGTGGAGCTGCTGTGACTGAGGCAGCCCTGAGTCAGCACAACTTTAATCTGTGTTGATTCTGACCCATCTTGCCTCCTATCTTCTCCCACAATATTTGTTCACCTCCTCTCTGCACTCATAGCTATGTTGAAAGGTATCTGTCCTTTGAACCTTTCAACATAGTTGTGAGATTGTATATCAATAGGCCAGCTAAACAAACCCATAGAAAAAACATAATTAGACTCTGACCTCAGAAATCGATGACATTTTCTTAACGACTGTGATTCCAATAAATAACATTGAAATGATTTTATTCAATATATGTTTACAAAGCACCCATTTTGTTCCCTACATTTTTCTAGGCACAGAGGTACATATAACAACATTATCCTGCTCAGATAATGAGTACATAAATCAATGAAAAAAATAAATCATGATTAGTGATAAACAGTACAAGGAAAATAAAGCTGAGCACTGTGATGGTACTTTTGGGGACGGCAATGGGGAAGTGGTTCACTTAGATGAGTGGTCATAGAAGAGTAAGTCCTGAATTGCAGGAAGAAGCTGGCATGAGAAGATCCAGGGTAACAGAATCTTAAGCAGAGGAACCAATGAGGGCAAGGACCTTGGTCAGGAACAACCCTAGTGCATTTCAGGCCCAGCAGGCAGGCAGATGCTGTGGGAGCATGGTGAGAAAGTCGAGGTCAGAGAGGTAGGCATGAGTATTCTAGTTGTCTAGTGCTGCATAACAATCACCCCAAAGCTTAGTGACTTAAAGCAATACTTATTATCCAACATAATTTTGGAGCATCAGGAGTCTGGGAGCAACTTATTTGGGTCATTCTGGGCCAGGATCTCTTAGGAGGTTGCAGTCAAGATATCAGTAGGGAGTGCACTCATCTGAAAGTTTGCCCGGAGATCAGGTTTACTCACATGGATGTTGTCAGGGGCCTCAGTTCTTCTCTGGCTATTGGCAGAAGTCCTCAGTTCCTTGCATGTCCGCTTCTCCATAGGGCTGTTTGAGTGTCATCATGACAGGTCACCTAATTTTCCCCAGAGCAAGTAATCCAAAGGAGAGCAAAACAAAAGCAACAAGACAGAAACGGGCACTGGAGTCACTCTTGAGGAGATCGCCTAGGATGAGAGAGCAGTTAGAGAGAAGGGGAGCAGGTGGGAGCCAGCCAAGGAATGTGAAGTGGAGGTGTCTGCAGTGAAGTGGGGGAGAGCCAGGAAAGCGTGGCATCAAGAAGGGAGGGTGTGAGGACTGAGGCGTGAACACTAACCTTGGTCACCACAGTCCACTGCCGACCTTGATGAGATCAGGTGGGGTGGACATGGGGCTGAAGCCTGACTAGAAGGGATTAAGGAGAAAATGGGAAGTGAGAATAGAGAGCAGCTACCAACCAGTCTTTTGAGAAGTATTACTCCCCAAAAGGGCAAAATGAATGGGTCAGTATACTTTATCTAGAAAAGTACTAGTAAGGTTCAGTAGGTTGGGCTCAGTTTTTTTGCAACTATGAGAAGTCACCTACGAATTGCCATGGACTCAAGTGTCACCAAAGGACTTGAAGTTCTTGGTCACCAGGGAGGACCCTTTGCTCCATAAACTGCTGACTGGAGAACTGAGGTGGAAAGTCCTCCACACTCGCCCTCACACCTTCCACTTCAGTCCACTCCTTTCTTCCTCCCTCAGTTTCTCTTTTCAGGGTCCCTTTCCTTGTCCATTTCTACAGTAGAGAGTGGAATGCTGCATCCACAGGCCAAGGAACACCAGGGATTGGGGGTAGCCACCATCAGCCAGGACTGGCCTGCAACAGCCTCCCTCAGAGCCACCTGAAGGGACCAATTTTGCTGACACTGTGATTTCAGACGTCAGGCTTCTAGAGCCATGAGAAAATCAATTTCTGTTGTGTGACACCCAGTTTGAAATATTGTTACTCTGGCCACTAGAAGTGAGTACAATACTTTGTAATGAACAAGAATGAATATACCCAATAATATAGATGAAAAAAATATTTAGAAAAAATATATAGATGAAAAGAAACATGATGAGTGGAAGAAACTAGACTAAAAACCGAGCACTTTTCGTATGGTTTTATTTATAGAACAGTCTAGAAAATGCAAACTAATTTTTAGTGACATGTGGTATGGGGAGGGGTAGGAGGAAGAGATTCCAAGAGGTCATGAAGACATCCTATGTTCACCACCTTGATTGTCATGATGTTTTCATGGGTGTATACATATGTCAAAACTTAGCGAATTGCACACTTAAATTATGTGCGCTTTACTACATATTCATTATAGCCCCCAATATGGCAATAAAATTAATGGAGGCAAATAAGACCCCACAAATCTACCCTCTGGTATGTTGCCTTCTAATTACAAACAGGCTTAGGGCTCTCCTGGCCTAACCCCCTTAGCCACCTACATTCCTACCCTTCATGAAAATACAAAAACAATGAATACTCCAAAACAAGTCAAAACATGAGCTCAGCCTAAGATGGCAGCTCCTCCTACATCAGTCTGACTGAGAGAGACGTCATAGCTCATGAGGCCCGGTGAGGCCTGGTGGGTGCACAGAGGTCAGGTGGAGACACACCAGAGGCAGGCAGATGGGCAGATACCCAGTTAGTCAGAGGCAGAAGGCTGTGGAGAGCCACTAGGTGGGGGGTTTTCTCCCCTGGCTGGTTTTCCTTTTTGCTATTTCCTTCCCTCTTCCTGTCACTTCCTAAACTCTCTTAGCCTACACTCTGACTTTACTTTCTCTTTCCAAAGTCTTGAACTTCTGTTTCTTAAGCAATGAACAAATGGTCAAACTAGTCCTATTAGTTCAAAGGTGTTTTTCAGCTCTACCTTCTTTCACACCAGTATTGCAAATCCAAGCCCCACCTCCTTTTCCTTCAGCAACTTTCTGCCAGAGGCCCCCACCCTCCACCAAACTCTAGTGCTCATATAATCCTGGGCTCCCTTTGCTTAGTGCAGTGATGTATATGCCTTTCTTGCCCACATGCTGCCACACTCATCCCTCCAATCCTGCTTCATTTCAAAAGGTCCAAATGTTCACAAAATAAATAACAAGCTACTAATGACAGCCCTCTCTCCCCCAGAGCTTGGGCAGGTGAAGAATGACATGAAAGCGGCGCAGAGTCTGACACTGGGCAGGGAATGCAGCACTTGGCAGGGCACTTGGATGGCATGACCACCGTCCCACACTCTCTACTCTCCTTCCCTTCTTATCTTGAAATGTTCTTCCCGCCACTCTCTTC